CCCCAAAACCCCAAAACCCCAAAACCCCAAAACCCCAATAGGAATATTAGTACTTGACGAACCAAGAAATATTATAAATTATTTGGATATCATGGCTGAACAAATATCGCCTGTTCTCCTGTACATTCTGATGGCTGGAATGCTCGTCACTGGTACTTTGAACACGGTCTTCTTAAAATTCATGAACCTCGCCTATTACACCGATAGAGAAGGAAAGAGTGACAAGCAATTTAATCATGCTTTCTTCCAAACATTCATCATGTTCATTGGAGAGTTTTTGTGTCTGGGTGTTTACGGAATAATGTACTTGAGAGACAAGAAGAAATATGGTGATGCTAGTCTTAACCCACAAGCTATCGAAGCAAAGAAGAGAGGCCTTAAGACTAATATTAATGTGTGCATTTTGGCAATTCCTGCTTGTTTTGATATTACAGCCTCAACTTTGATGTTTATGGGTCTAACTATGATTGCTGCTAGTATCTACCAGATGATGAGAGGGCTTATAGTCTTTGTTGCAGCTATCTTCAGTATTATATTCTTAGGAAGACGTTATCACAGACATCATTGGACAGCTTTGGCTTTTGTCGTAGGTGGAGTCGCCATTGTAGGAGCCAGTCCGGTTATTTTCCCTAATAGTGATGATGATGACGATGATGATGCTGGTAAGATGGCTATTGTTGGTATTATACTTGTAGTCGTAGCACAGCTTTTCGCAGGAGGTCTCATGATCTCAGAAGAAAAGTTGTTGGGAAGTTACTACTTACATCCTCTTAAAGTTGTTGGTTGGGAAGGATTCTGGGGATGCACTATATATTTAATTCTCCTTCTCATCTTCCAGTTTATTACATGCGGAGATAAAACAATCTGTCCTCATGGAAGGCTTGAAGATACTCCACAAGCTTTTTATGAAATGGGAAGTAACCCAGGAATTCTCTTATATGGGATTGGTTCAATCTTAAGTATTGCTTTCTTTAATGCACTGGGAGTCTCTGTTACAAAGTTTGCTAGTGCTGCCCAGAGATCAACCATTGATACTAGTAGAACATTATTGATCTGGGGTGTTTTCTTGCTCAAGCCTGGAGAGGGCAGAGAGAAATTCATCTGGCTTGAACTTGTTGGCTTCGTCTTACTGGTGCTTGGAACCCTTGTATTTAATGAGATTCTTGTGATTCCAATTTTAGGCTTCAATAAAAATACTAAAGATGCTATCGAAGCCAGAAAAGCCCTTGAAGACGACAGGGAAGATATTGAGGATAGCTATAATGGCAATATGCCCACAAAGAAAGGTAAAGTTGCTGCTGAGAAAGAAAAGCTTTTGGACACAGACAGTGAGAATTAGATGATTTCATCATTACTGTTTCAATCATAACAGGTCTCAATGGGGTTTTGGGGTTTTGGGGTTTTGGGGTTTTGGGGTTTTGGGGTTTTGGGG